CCAATTCCATTCACTAGATGTTAATTTAAAAAGGCCCATGTCTTAATATGTCAACATTACTCAGTTTACTTGATTCTTTCCAGTAAAAGCCACGGTTTTGGAGGATCTTTCTAAAGAGCCAAATACAAAATGAATATAAGTTTTCATCAGGGTTCTTTCAATAATAAACATTTATCAAGTGCCTACTGTGTAAAGGCAATGGATGAGTTACTATGGTGAACTGCTAAACTCCACTCATTACATGTTTTATCGAATAATTTAAACTTTCTCTGTACAAATGCATTTTTTAAAAGATGAAGTTTTTAAGTGCCAGAAACAAATAGCTTGAAAAGAGATGGTGAGAATCCTAAGATACTAACTTACTATACAGTAAACACTCCCCCTCTACACATACATACATACACACACACACACACACACACACACACACACTTCTTTAAAGGATATATATATATCCCTTAAAGAAGTGTAGAAAAACAGAGGTAAAAAGAGGCACAGGATTATGTAGTTTTAACTAAAATAATTAGAAAAAACATTTGGATAAAGGCAATTTATAATCTATATTAAGAAGAATATCTTCATTTAACTCTCTCTTCAGCTGTCAATTACATTTGGCCTTGGTTCCCTTCTGCTTTCACTCTTAACATTTTCACCTGATGGCCTGCTACCTTGCCTATTACCTTTCTTCCAACTGTACATGAGGAAACGAGAATGAAACTTGTAGACACATCAGCTTTTTTAGCTTTTACTTATAGGCAAAATACTTTTACTAACTTTTGTTCTATCTATCTGCCTTCATGTTTCACTTACCTCATTGGCAGTCTTGTACTGGGTTAATTCAAAGTGCGATTCAAGGACCATACCACAGTTGCTTTGATAGACCCACTTTTCGAAGACACAAGCTAGAATGGATGGTGTGCAAAAGGGTGGAAACTCATTGAAAGCCTGAAGATTTCTAAGGGGCTTTGGAGAGCTGGTCAGTACAGCAGAGGCATCGTGTTTATGTTATATGTGAACATAACTTGTCACTGGTAAGATACTTTCCCCTACAAGCAAAACTAACACTACCAACGGAAAATGGAATTTAAAAAGAAACTTTAGAAGAAGGCAATGAACCTAAAAATATCCCAGCAACAAAAACGTTGGCTGGAATACCTGGATTTTTCTGAGTATAATTTTAGTTAGGTAAACATTGAAAAGATATATTTTCCTAAAAGAGTAATCTTATGGAAAATGATGGTTGGCAGTAATTTTCAGATTCAGCAGATCAATTTTGAAAAAGATTTTCCTTATTTTAAAGAGTGAGAAGATGTAAATTTGAACAAACTGCAATAATGATGCTTAACATTCACAATCACCTCACTGAGAAAATTTACCCTCAAATAATCTTAGTTGGATAATTATCTAAGAATATAGACACATAGATGTGAACTATAATGCTAATCATGCTATAAATGAAGTGATTGCTTTTATGTGTTCACTAAACAAGTGTATTATAGATTCATAGCTATCTAGAGTGTATTTTATAAAATAGCTAAGCTCTCTGAAAAGAAAACAGAAATATACCCAGTGTGTAACTAAATTAAATACAAAAGAAAATGGCATTGGATTTTAGGAGTGGATTGTGGTTTTATGGTCAAATTATTTTTGATATATTGAATATGAATTCAAAAGGAAGACTATAAACAAAATGCTGAGAAGAGCTAGGGAACAAGATTTAAGAGCTATTTAAGCCCTTGCTAGACAAGGGCAATAATGCAAAAACATAATTCATTATAGTTGGAAGATGAGAAAAACAAAGTAAATCTCAGATTTGAATTCAATGCTATATTTCTAGGTGTACACACACACACACACACACACACACACACACACATACACACACACACACCCATACACACACAGTTAATGCATGTGAACATATCCACCAAGTACATGGGTAGACCTGATTGAAGGAATTGTAAATATTTTCTGGAAGAGAAGTTGAGTTGAACACACACATCCTTTTTCAATTTTAAGGTCTGTTAGACTTAAATGGCACAACAGTCTGTCAGGGAAGTGGCAAAATCACCACAGATTGTTGAGTGATTCAAAATTAGATCAGATGAAGCACTTTAAAAATACTCTGCAGGAAACAACGTGATGTTGAGAAGGCAATAAAAATATGACCTAGGTTGGTGTTTTCCATCTCCAATTTTTAATGCTTTTTATGTAGTTTAAAAATAAAAAAAGTATAATATTTACAGAAGTGCTGAAAGTTAGAGCCTAAGCTCTAATGTGCTTATTATTTAACATTAATGTATACGATTCACATGGCTATAATGCAGAAACAGCAGAATTGTGGCTAATTATGTGTTAGTCCTTTAGTATGAAATCAACAATGAAAAATGAGTTTAGGGAATAGAGCAGTATTTAGGAAGTGTTGGTAGAGTTATCCTTAAGGGTTAAGTTCTAAACATGTATATCCAACATAACAGACCTTGATGTTAAAGTCAAAATTAAATAGGATTTAGAATTTCCCCCATATGTAATGTCGTTATAACTGGATATAAATATATGAAAATGATGAAAAATGGTCTAGAAATTCTTTGAGAATTATTAACTAATGCATATTTAAAGAGAGAGAATGGATGGAAGCAACTTCTAGAAGAGTTATTTTTCATGTTCCCCCTTACCCTCTGATTTTAATTAACATTCAAATGAGAGATCAACCAAAGGACTTGTATGCATGCATATAAGTAGAATCCATGGACACAGACAGTAGGGGGGAGGTGGCATGTGTTGGGTGTGTGTGTGTGTGTGTGTGTGGGAACACCAGGGAGAGGTCAATGGGAGGGGAAGGAGACATATGTAATACTTGAAACAATAAAGAATTAAAAAGAAATAAATAAAACAAAAATAAATGCAATCTCTTTATATCATTTGGTTTTTCTTATATTCAAAGGCAGTCAAGATACTGCATGGAATGAAAAATGGAGTAGAAAATGCTCAATAAATTCTAATAGTTTCTAATTTGTGCTTTTTTTCTTTTAACTTACAGTGATTTGCTTGGGTGGGAAACTCTCCTATCTTCATGTCAAACAAATGCACTTTAAGCAGTGGGAACTTCCTGTTCTTCAGAGTCAGGCTTGTCACCTTTTGGATAAACCATTGGTTAGACCATGGCCCCAGTGGATCAGCTGCCTGGAACCAGTCCTGACAGAAGCCTCCCTCACTGACAGATTGTTTCTAGACCAGCAATGTGCCCTTTGAGCTGTCCAAATGCTTTGTGGCTCACTGACATCCTTACTCCATGTGACTGGTTTTATATAAACTTCATAGAAATTTTGTTAGGCTGACTTCTCTCATGCCTGCTTATGAAGGGATGTTATTTGATACAAAGCCCACTTATACACAGAAAATAGAGAGGGAGGCCATTTGCCCAGTTCTTGAAGTTTGCTGTGGTAGTGAGGCAAATTAAATGACCATTTTCCTTTGGAAGCAGCGGTGGTAGGAGGTGCTGGCCATGGCCAGCCTTTGCCTTGGTGCTTAGCCCACTGATGGTAGAAGATATTTAGTAAACTTTTGTTGGATGAATACATGAATGGTCATTTCAAAGTAGGCTACAGTTTAGTACTAGTCTTACTGCATTCATTTCTTAGCAACTGTCCTACTAAAGTGGCCAGCCCTACAGGAAATGCAAAAACATGGGAGGATGGGAACTTAATGCCAAAAGAATAAAAGTGACAGTCTGTGTCTAGCCATCTTTTGAATCACGAGTATATGAACAATCTTTGACTAGCCTTAAACTATTCAGCATGACATGCTGGGGAAAAATCATGGGATTTTGGAGACAAACACAACTGTGTCTAAATCATAACTTTGCTACTAACTAATATTTTATCCAGACTAGATTACTTAACCCATATGAGGCTCAGTTTTCCTTCATGAAAATGGAGAAATTACCTCTAGTCTTGTAAGCCTTTTGTCTTGTTTTGAGATAAATCACTTATAGGTGTATATCTATATCTTAACAATAGTAATAACAGTTTTCATATCTTGAATATCTTCTAGATGTCTGGGCCAGGGCTAGAGGGTGTACAGACACTTCCATTAACTTGCCCACTAACTGTACAAGGTGAATAGTATCATTCCCGCGGTAAAGGTAACACTTCAGAGTCACCAATGAAAAGGAATATAGTATACAAGACCGCAGAGCTAACAAGTGTGAAAGCAAAGAATTGACTTTATGTTTGTCTAATACCTGAGCCCAGGCTTTAATTTATCCTGATTAATAAATATTATTTTCTTTCTTGTTCCAAAGAAATAGAAATTACACAACTCTCCCTTTTCTAATCAATATCTCTGTTTACCTTCTATACGACAGTGGCTCTATTCTCCATAATAAACCCCACGGGGTCCAATAATTTGATCCATTCTGTTCATACATTTAGAGTCTAATTGTGTGCTCCACACAAGTAGTGTTTTCAGTTATCATTATTGGAGGTCACATCTTTTCAGTAGATTTTTCCTACGTTATTTCAAGTTAGCTCAGTAATCCTGAAGCACAGAGAGGGTCGGGGGTGCAGGAAACTTTTAGACACTGAGATAACTTAGGTTTTCTGTAACCCAGCCTGAAAACAAGGGAGAAAACAAGATGTAGTCTTCAGAATATTTGAAAGCACAGCAGTTTCTATGTTCTGTCATGAATAGAGTCAGAGGTTCTTCTGGCTGTGCCTCGACCTGTGATGTCAGTGGGAACTTTGAACATGAAGGGTGGAGACGCCTAACTTGGATGAGCTGCCTATGGAGTTGTTAGCAGAAGCTGGAAATGCTTATAACCATGGCTGAGTCAGAAGAAGGATATGAACCCTGGGTTTCTTCTGACAGTTGTCTTTAATTAAACGAGCCTGGCTCTGCTAGATTCTGGCAAGTCAGCCAGTTCTTTGGAAATCATCTCACTTTCCCAAGTTTTGTTTTTGCTTAGAATCTTGGATTTCGTTTTTGTTTTCCACTTTCAGATTTATAATCGCCTAGATACAAATTGCTGTGGATTCAAACCTCGAAAGGAAGATACCTGTGTACAGAATGGACTGAGGCCAAGATGTGACAACCAAGATTCTGTGGCTCTCGCACACATTATCCAGCGAAAGCATGACCCAAGGCATTTGGTCTTTATAGACAACAAGGGTTTCTTTGATAGAAGCGAAGATAACCTAAACTTCAAATTGTTAGAAGGCATCAAAGAGTAAGTTTTATAGCATAGTAACATCAGATTTATATTTAACTAAGTAGCATGACTTGGAGGAAATTTACATTCTATGTCTGACCGATTGTAGCCCTTGAAATGAATTGTGGTTGTGGAATCTGGAAACAGAGGCCCAGAAAAGGGAAGCAAACCCAGTGGAACAGAACAAGAGTGCATCCAGGGTGTCACTGTCACAAACCAATGCAATCTATAAAGCTCCTGTCACCTTTCACATCCATCATGTTGCTTGGCCCTCACTGTGAAAATCCTTGTGGATTAGGTTGGAAGCGTGCAGGAATCTCTGAAATAGGACCTGGCAGGACAGGGATAAGCAGGTGGCAGAGGCTCCATTATTAGGCCCCGGAGCAGGGGAGCTGACAGACATTTGGATTATTGACATGCTAGGATGTCCAAAGGCATAATAAACTCAAGTGACTTTTATGAACGTGGCAAAAAGTCAGAGCCAATCTGCCCAGTAAAATACAGTATCAAACAGCAGCTATTTAACGAGGTAGGAGGGTTTTTGAGCATTTGCAAGCCTTTCTAGTAGACAGAGATTATGGAAAATAGTACCTTGAACCTACCTCTAATTGGAAATAAAGGAAACCAAGACACTTAATAGGGGCAAAGCCTTGCTGTAGAGTTTCATGAACCCTAATCTCATGAGTTTTTACCATGTCTTGCCCTGTTAATATTTGTGTTCACATCACTTTGTGGGTTGAAGATTGAGTATATGGCATATTCTCTCTTTAAGTATATAAACCAAGGGTATTTTATGCGTAGAAAATTTATAAACCTAAGGCATCAATTACTGAGTTGATATTATGGGTTTTCTTAAATCCCTAGCCCTAAATTTTCTCTTAGAATTAAAAGTGCACAGAGAATACAGGCCACCCATTCAGGTATGTATGAATACTGTTTTATTTATACTTTTAAAGAAGATTGAATTTTAAATGCATTATGAAGAGCAATGAGCTCAAAGTTGTCTTTTTAGAATATATAATTCACACATTGAAAAGCAAAAATGAAGACTTTGCTAACCCAGATTTATGCATAGAATATTCATATTAATGTAATGCAAAGACAGAATTTTTTAAAATTTTTCCCTCACAAAAAGGTTAGTCCCTGAAAAGAGCCATGATTTTTAACAATATTATCTTACATATCCTGCCACAGCTAAATTAGTTGAAGGGCCATAGAACTTCTAAATTATTAACACTTCCTAGAGCAAAAGTGCTTAATTAATGCTATGGCCACAGAATTACATAGTGCATGTCTTCCGGGAGCTCAGAGCAGCTTACCAGCATTATTGAAGTCCCCACTTACTCAGACTCATTAAGCACGTCCCGCTCGGTGGCCTCTGCTCTCTCTGCAGCATCTGAAGGGCGGGAGCATCGGAATCCCTTGCATTCATGCTCCCTGAGTGCCATCCTCAACTTGCTCCACGGACATATCATAAAGGCTCTTAGAAGCTCTGAAACTTCTGGCAATTTGTTCTCTTCAAACAAAGTACATGTTTCTATTTTAGTTTTTAAGGAACAGCTAAGTTTTTTTTTTTTAATTTAAATTCTTTATTGTTTAAAGTATTACATATGTCTCCTTTCCCCCCCACATTAACCTCTTCCTGGCCACTGGAACAGCTACATTTACTTGAAAATTACTAGTAAGTCCCAGCATTTTTACTGTGCTTTCATCAGCATTTTCATAAAAGCCAGGAGAGGCCAAACTGATCATATGTAATTCACACATTGAAAAGCAAGAAATGAGACTTTGCTAACCCAGATTTATGCATAGAATATTCTTATTAATTAGTGTGATGCAAAGACAGGTACTTTAAAAAAATTTTTCTTGACAAAAAGAATTCATCACTGAAAAGAATCATGATTTTTTAACATTTTTATCTTACACATTCTGCCACAGCTAAATTAGTTCAAGGGGCCATAAAATTTCTAAATCATGGATTGTTAGTGCTTCACTAAATTACATTGTGCATGTCTTCAGGGAGTCAAACATCTATATCCTGTCTAATAAAAGAGAAACATGCAAATTGATTGTACCTGCACTACGCCCACAAGCCACACTCACCAGCCAATCAGGAGCGAGTATGCAAATTAACCCAAGAAATATGGTGACTGCCACAGAGCTGGAGAGAGCAGGAGGCTTGGGTTGCCCCCATTGATGGAGGAAGCCGAGCTTTCCACCAGCCCTGGCCTGCCCTGGCCTCTGCTTAAGGCTACAAAGTTTCAATGATAGAAGATAAAAAATCCCAGATGCCAGGGCCTCCACTTGGGTGGCCAGGGCGGGGGAGGGGGCGGGGAGGGGGGAGCATAGCTGGCCTGCAAACTACAACAGGCCCCTTGCCCAGGCCACCCTATGCTCCAGGGAACCCCCACCCTGATCCAGGACATCCTCCAGGGCAAACCAGCTGGCCCCACCTATGCACCAGGCCTCTATCCTATCTAATAAAAGACTAATATACAAATTGACTATCACTCTAACACACAAGATGGTCGCCACAGAGAGCCAGCAGGGGAGAGCAATTGGGAGGGACCAGGCCTGCAAGGGAGGGCAGTTGGGGGCGATCAACCCTGTAGGGGCGAGCAGTTAGGGTTGACCAGGCCGGCAGAAGAGAGAAGTTGGGGGGAGACCGGGCCTGCAGGGGAGGGCAGTTTGGGGGGGCCAGGTCTGCAGGGGAGGGCAGTTAGAGGTGACCAGGCCTTTAGGGAAGGGCAGTTAGGGGTGATCAGGTCTGCAGGGGAGAGCAGTTAGGGGCAATAACGCTGGCAGGGGAGCAGTTAGGCATCAATCAGGCTGGCAGGGGAGTGGTTCAGGGGTGATCAGGCTGGCCAGCAGAAGCAGTTAGGGGCAATCAGGAAGTCAGGCAGGTGAGCAGTTGGGAGCCTGTAGGATTGTGAGAGGGATGTCTGACTGACCATTTAGGCCCGATCCTACTGGAATTGGTCCTAAATGGTCAGTCAGACATCCCTCGAGGTGTCCCAGTTTGGAGAGGGTGCAGGCTGGGCTGAGGGATACCTCCTACCCATGCACAAATTATATATATTTATATAAATAAATAAATAAATAAATAAATAAATAAATAAATAAATAAACAAATAAAATCATAGATAAATATATAAATAAATTATATATAAATATATAAATAAATAAAATTATATATTTTTAAAAGCCTAAGTGACTGGTTGACTGGACAACCAGATGATTGGCTGGAAGCTATGACATGCACTGACCACTAGAGGGAAGGTGCTTACTGCAGGAGCTGCCCCCTGGTGGTCAGTGTGCTTCCACATGGGAGCACCACTCAGCTGGCCAGTGGGCACCAAACTTGGGCTCATGGTTGGCAAATGCAGCTGTGGTGGCCTGAGCCTCTCCTGCCTTCCATCTCTATAGCATTGCTACCAAGCAGTGGAGGCAGCAGGCCTAGTGGGGCCTGGATAAAAGCGGGAGCGGCTTAATTTTCAATATCCCCTAAGAGGTTCCCAGATTGCTAGAGGGAGTAGGCCAGGCTGAGAGACCCCACAGGTGCACAAATCCATGCAGTGAGCCTCTAGTTACTTCTAATTTTGATTCAGCAAACATTACTTGTAATTTTGAACCAGAAATTTTACAAAGTTCTCCAGATAATGTTTGTCATAGACCCTTGACTTTATATTTTCTGAATGAAGAACAGAAAGCACTCTGATAGGGCAATTCAAATAAGGACCCTTCTAAGGTTTTCCAGAGAGATAGTTAATTGTGGAATGCCCTGGCTTTAATCCTTGAGTTTCACTATGTTTATTTGAAACAATTTAGTATTCCAATTTCATAAGATGCTCCCAGATTCTAAGAATTCCTGAAGTCTAATCTGAATCAAGGACACTTTATTAATTGGGCATTTTGGAATGATTCTTTCTCTTCTTCCTACATATATTTTGGGATATTTTACCTTAAATTCGGTCATTCAACATCTACTCAGGTAGAGAACTTTACTGAATTTCTCAGCATTTGCTTCTCATATTTACTTGCATAAAACTCCACATTGACAGTTATGAGGATACTATACTACTTGACAGATTCAAGTGGTTTCCATGGGAGAAATGGAGTTTAGGAATAAGGAAAGTATTTTTGCTAGTCTAACAGAGACTTTTTGAATTCTGTGCCTCTGGTTGCCTACACATACTGATCTTAAGTCAAATGCTGGTATGTCAAGTTCTCATTGGTATAGATAATTCATTTCTCTTGAAGCATATTTTCTAATATATTACTATTAGGATAAGTATTGACAGTGATAAAAAGTTTTGATTCTCAAGGTACTATTTGATAGTGTGATTTATGCCAGATTAATGAACAATAGAGCAGTTGGAGAAGGTCTGATATTTCCAAACAATCACTAAGAATGAAATATGATTTTATATTTTCAGGTTTCCTGAATCTGCAGTGTCTGTTTTGAAGAGCCAGCACTTACGGCAGAAACTTCTTCAATCACTGTTTCTTGACAAAGTTTATTGGGAGAGTCAAGGAGGTAGACAAGGAATTGAAAAGCTTATTGATGTAATAGAACAAAGAGCCAAAATCCTTCTCACCTACATCAATGCACATGGGGCCAAAGTATTGCCTATGAATGAATAACAAAAGGGTCTTCTGGCTAGAGGACTGGATACATTTATGCATCTTTATTTCTAAATCAAGTATTCAAACTTCAACTCCTCTTAGGAATGAGATAGAGTAGCTAAATACATAAAATAAATGAATTTAACCAAGTATATATGGTGGGCCTGCATGCCATAAGCAGACTTATAAAGCTTTAAAAAATATTCTCCTCAAAAATGTTTATATTTTCACTGCCATTGTCATGTGATTTCAACATCTGATTACAAAATGGTTGCAATTATTATGACAGCAAGTTTGGTTAAAACATTTGTCATATTGTTGAATAGAACAGTATAAACTGACTCCTTTAAGAAATATCTTGTGCCATTTTCAACTGGTCTGACCAAATACTAGTGGGAATGAACCTTGAATATTTTTGTGGCTGATTGCTAAAACAGAAGTCCCAGCCCTTATCCAGGGGCACCGCTAAACTGGAAAACCGAGGCACATGACCTACAAATACATCAGTGCCTTCAATAATTCTAAATAGAAATGGTGAGTTATTTGCAAAACTACCAGTTTATATTCTATTGTATCTATAAATAATTAGTGATTCTGAGCAGCAAGAATCACATTTTTCATTCCCTTTTAGAAATTGTTGTCAGTGTAGAAATTTATCCATATCTGACAATTTATACATTAGATAGTTTTGCCCTCTCAATTTTGGTCCTATTTATGTCTAGTGGCTTATAAATTAAATAATTTTAAGGTTTGATGTTACCTACTTGAAACTGTACTTATGGAATATTCCCCTCCCCTTGTTTTTTTTTAAAAGATGTTATTTAAAAAAATTTGTAATTTCTACAGGGTTTATATATAATTTCTGTATTTTCATTAATAATAGATTTCTTTAAATTGGTTTGGTATAATTACATTTAAACTGATTTGATTAATATTACCCAGATGTTGACAATAGGATCAGATATTGATTATGTTTAAATATAGTTTGGCTTATTCTAATATAAGAAATATGAACAAAATAAATTAAAACTTGATTCTGCTAATTGGTCCTCAAAGAAAGCACATGACTAGAACTAAAACGGCATATTTGGATATTATTAAGCCTTAAAGAATTCTTCCCAAACTCTACCAAATTTTTAATTAGGTGGAAGAGTGTGGCATGTGGTGTTCATCTGTTGGGTCTTTATATCCTTGGAAGATACCCACATTGTTATGTAAGACAAATGTTCATAAAGAGGTTTCAGACTTTGAACAAGTCATTATTACCTTCTCGTCCCACATACCTCACCTCTTATTTAAAAGCTGATATACTGACTTTTCCTTTCCCTGAAAGTTTTAAAATCCAGTTTAAGGATGTTTTAAATAATAATAAATTTAAGAATGTTTTTGATAACAATGAGAACATATTTATAGATTCTAATTCATACAAAAGTACAGGGTCAAAATAGTAAAATAACATGTTAAGTACAGAAGAAGATAGAACATGGAGAAAGGAATCATTTAGCATCTAATTATAGCTGTTTTAGGCTCATATTCAAGTACTGCTATTTAGCACCCTTATTTGCTGGGCTTCCCTTTGGCAAATTGGTCTTCAGACCATTATCCTATCTGATTGTCCCTGTACAGCCCCGAGTCTCTTCCTCTGGCCTCACATATTCAGAGGGCTCTTTAGTTCTGCTGAGTCTTCACTTTTACCTGTTGTAATTGGCCTTTTATATTTGACCTTTTAAAAAATTTACATTTTTATTAATTTCAGAGAGGAAAGGAGGTGGGGCAGGGGGTGGGGGGAGAGAAACATCAATGATTATAGAGAATCATTGATTGGCTGCCTCCTGCACACCCCCAATGGGGATTGAGCTCACAACCTGGGCATGTGCCCTTGACCAGAATTGAACCCAGGACCCTTCAGTCCAAAGGCCTATGCTCTATCCACAGAGCCAAATAAACTAGGGCTATTTGGCCTTTTTAAGATTGCTTTTTCTTCTTCTTCTAATCAATCATTATATTAATGAAAAATTGACCAAACAAAAGTTTGAGGACCTAGGTTCTGTGTTGAGCCACTGACTTGAAATAACTCTTTGTCAAGTTGCCTTACACCTTGTCTTATCAAAGTGGCATATTTGCATCTTAATATGCTTTTTATGAAATATATCATCTTCATCAAAGTTGTGATATTGGTGGCGGGAATTCCAGCCTTTTTAGAAGTGAACTTTAATTTTGTGTCTCAAGCTGCTGCTTTTGGGCAGCTTGGTGTTCTCAAACATGTGGGTCTGGCTTTGTTTATTATGCCTTCATTTATTCCGAGATGCTAATATTAAACAAAAAGTCCAGGGACACATGTTAGTTTTAGTCACCTTTGCTTTTTTAACAGTATATTTTGTCTTATAATCAGTGAATAATTCATGCTGTATTATTTTTGAATAATGAATAGTCGAAGACTAGGCTTTTAATTCTAATAAGTAATGCTCTTCATTTCTCTTACTGAAACAATGAAGATACTCCGTGTCTTTCAAATATACTCAGATTATGCTGTGGTTTGGTTCTCATAAGCACATTATGTGGTTTATTTATAACGTGATAATTTTAAAACAGAACAATTTGCCTTGGCAGACATACAAAAGCTCTTCTGAGTGGTTTGTTTTCTTTAAGTTGGTGATCTGAAAATAACTGTTGTCTTAAAAATCTGTAATAAAATATTAGAAATTAAAAATGTATGCTTTTTCTTTTTGTAGATGAGTTTGTGGATGAGTTACTTCTTAGAAGTTAAGTATAGGTGAATATTTGCTACCTTTATGCATGGTAAAAAAAACAATTAAATAGTCCAGAATTGTATTTGTGTAGACATGTATTTGATATTGTTATTAGTGGTGTTATACTTTCTCTTGGTGTACATAAAGCATTGTTGTAAGTAGTATGCAAATTAGTTAACAGATATTATAAACTATAAGAGAATTTTTGGCTTTTGTTGCTTTGGGTGAGTCTTACAATTATGTTTACAGGTTCCTTTAGAGCAGTGGTTCTCAACCTTTCTAATGCTGTGACCCTTTAATACTGTTCCTCATGTTGTGATGACCACCAACCGTAAATTATTTTCATTGCTACTTCACTCCATAACTATAATTTTGCTACTGTTAATGAATCATAATGTAAATATCTGTGTTTTCCGATGGTCTTGGGCCACCCTGCTAGTGGTTCTCAACCTGTAGGTTGCTCAAAATATTTATAATCTCTAAACTTGTGAAATAGCTTGTTTTTATCAATTGTGCCTTGAAATATACATTACATTATATCTAATGAATAAAATATCCTAGATGTAAAATCATCTAAAACTGTCTTATGAAATTCTAATGCTTATCCCAGTCCAGAACAAAGTGAGGCATATATAGGGCATTAGTCTAAAAATATATTTTGGAAATTGGGTGAGGGTCAAATAAAGATGATCAAGACTTTTCTCTAAAAACTGAGTGGTATTATCAAGAATTAAGAACTATTTGTTATTCATGAAAAATAATTCCACTTGTCAGAAAAGTTATCTGACTTGGCAATAGCCAGAAGAGATTATTCTTGAGGGTTTTTTTTTTTTTTTTCAGTGAGTGCTGTATTTGACTTTTTTTTTTTTTTTTAAATGAGTGGACTATTTAACCATGTTGTAGGGCATAGTTTAACGTGTAGATTTTTATACCATAGAGATATAGATCATTTCTGTCTGGTGAAAAAGATAACCCTAATTATTTTATAATTTATTACCCCGTTGTACATTAACTGGTTTTATATCTAGTGAAGTAATCTTATCCTAACATTGAGTATAAATATTAGCTTTTGACATACTCTTTGAAATGTTTTTACCACTTTAGTGAGTCCCTTTTTAATTAATTGTTTAAATAAAATCTTTTGACATATGCTCATTTTACATAGGCCTAGGAGTCACAATTTTATGTTGTTATTTTTTTTTTAAGTTTCCTTTAATACACTTTTGATTGCCAAGTCATATAATTTTATTAGCTTGGGATTCATGATTTTAAATTTTTGAAAATTTTACTTTAACAAAGTTTCAAAACATTGTTATATAATTAAAGAGCTGAATGATACTGTGTGATCAACATCTTGTCCAACACCCTTATTTTCTAGATGAAGAAACAGGCTTAAAGAGGCAAAGTTACTTGCTTGAATTTACCCAAATGATTGATTTAGAATCTTAGGTGTTGAAACTGATTTAGGAAGTTAGAGAATCAAAACTTTCTCTAAGATTCATTATCTACAATAATAAAATAAGAAACACTAGTTTAACAAAACCAGAAGGTCTTACATAGGCATATTTATGCGCATTAATAATTTTATGGCATTTTTTTTGTAAACTACAGGGAGTAGAATAAACAGAAAAGTTTCTTGTACTATGAAACTTTTTGATAGTCATGTTACACAGCGATTGAGAATCTGCTATGTGTCATGCTGTGTGCTGGGCAATGTGGACATACAAATTAATAAGTAACTTTTAATATGTTAATCATCAATTGAGACCTATAATTAGACTCTAACTTATAGCTTTAGTGGAAAAAAATTGAGGGAAGAAATTCTTTATGGAATGTCTAGAAATAAATTATTACTTAGAGGATTTTTTACTCACGGTGAATTTTACTGTTTCTCTCTTGTTGACTGGTGCTTAAAAATGACAACTTGGAGTCATTTTTGTGGCTGGACAAATCGACCTATTTATTTTAATATTAGAGGTCCAGTGCACAAAATTCATGCACAGATAGGGTCCCTAGGCCTGGCCAGTGATCAGGGCTGATCGGGTCCTTCTGGCTGCTGGCCAGGGCCTTCCTTCATACTGTGCTGCCCCTAGTGGTCAGCACACATCATAGAGAGCGATCAAAGCCCAGGTTTCTCCTGTGGGGACACTTTGCTTATTAGCCTTTTATATGTATAGATTTCCTGAGGACATGACTGTGTTCCAGAATGGTGGTCCAATAGTAGATGCTCATAATGACCATCCTGATCCATAAAAAATGTGCTAGTGT